ATGCTTTCTGTACAGACATGTGATCAGAAGCGAGCAGGTATAAGAGAAGTCTGTACTTAGTTATCTTCTCTTTTCCTCATCTTTTAGCTTCTGTACGATAGGTAGAAGCATACTCGTTCGCTAGGCCTCTCCGCCCATAACACTTCTAGCTTATTAAGGCGCTTTACCTTTAGCTCGCAGTCGCGTTAGGGGCGCGTTCTAGCGCGTCGCCGTTAAATTATTATTCAAGAGACGTTATATATCTCTACAGTACGTTTTATACTTTAAATACGTTAGAATTTAATATCAAAAAGAGTAAGTTAAATATCTAATTTATTAGAAATTAATTAGGCACTGCGTGGTTAAGACATGTCGCGTTGTAGTGTTGACGGTAGAGCGCTGATGGGGAGGTGGCCGCTCACTTGGGGTGGCCGCTCACCTGTGAACCACGTTATACTTATCCAATGAAAATCAATTTCGCATTCTCACTTCTGCTTTCCTCGCACTGGTTTCCTCTGCCCACTCGAGCGTCGCGGATAGCACCTCCAACGAGAACATTGCCCTTTTGGACTGCGGCTTCGGCAGGATTGCAGGCCACCCAGACTGGGCAAGCTCCTTAGCCGCCAATTACTATGCCGGAGACATCTGGCAGGACGCAGAAGAGACGACAGTAAACCCACCTACTGGCACTGACACCGTATTAGCTGGCTATCTTTATCTATGGTGTGAAAGCAGCATCACCTTTAAGCTCTTGACCATCGATATTACACTCATAATCCACCCAGCTATCAATGATCTGGATCGTGCCGGCCTATTCACACGCTCCCAATTCGGCGATCCGTGGCATGCTTCCCATACCACAAGACGATACCCGGCGAGTGTCGTACAGCTTACGTCTACAACAAAAAGGAACACCCCACGCCGCCTCGCGAGACAAGCTGTCTGTAAAATTTTCCATTACCATGGACTTCGCTAAGCTCAATGGTAACATCAATCCGGCGGATGTCTTCGGCAAGATCAACTACTCGGATAATGGAATGTGTGACGAGTCGTGGACCGACATTCCCGGTGGCTGCAAGATCAAATTCCGATGCCATGGTAACAAGAAGGGCACTACGCCTGCCATGGCCAACCCGCTCAAGGAGATCGGCACCGGATATCCCGACATGATAAAGCACGAGAACGTCAACGAACGAATATGGGGTCCGTGCAAGAGCGGTAGGGACTCATGCGTTGGTGGATATGTGGACCACTTTGTCGACTACACGTGGGTCCCGCAGGCGCTTAGCATTGTCGTTCCAGACACCAACGACGCCGACCAGGGAGAGCTCAACTACGAGATTGACTGCTCGGCTAGCGAGAAGTGTGATTTATGCAAGGGCCTCACCTTCGGCGCTGGTGTTGGTGTGTGGGTTGCAGGTATCTTTGCGCCCCCGCTTGGTATCGTAGCAAATGCCATTGCTCAGTCCGCAATAGGCTCTTGCATGGCAAATGGATGCTAGAGATGTAACGGCTCCTGCAACGTTTCTTCACCATTTTGATCTAGTTCACTAGACGACTATTCAATTGCCAGAGCTTTCTCTCTTAGACTTTTGTACTTCAAGCGTTGGCGGGGCGATCTAATTAGGAGATGAGCTTCGAGATATGGGCTTGACTGGGGTCTTTTACTCGAGATTATTCACAATCAAATTCGTCTTTTGTCTCGTGTAATCAATGCTTCCAAACTGCGACATGATGTAACACGCATCTCTTTCATTCAGAACAGGCATATAACCTGGCACCGGTATCGCCGCGTTCGGCTATACTGCTGTGAGTAACCTAGACCGAGACCAGAGAAGTGTATCCCAACGCTGTGTAGCAATTGAAGCTGTGTACACATGAATGAAGGCGACATGCTGTGTTGTGCGTATTGGCATTTGGCGATGCAACACCCATTGAACTAACACAGGAAACAAACCTTAGTATGTGATTGTCGGGATGTAACCGAAGTACGCATGCTTTTTGCAGCTTCGGTTCTTGCTAATCTTCCTAGATCGTTACGCGTGAACGACAATCGGCGATAACAGGAGCATTAGATCACCGTGCTCAATATGGAAAATGTGTTAGAAAAAGGAAGGAGCACCTGCGGCTTGGCTTGCAGCTTGCGAAAGCTGAGGGCGGGGTCAACGATACACACGCATGAACTGACTTTCGGAGAACTTCGCTTTCCCAACGTACATGCACTTATATTTCTCTTGTGTATTTCTTGTAACGGAACTTGTAAGCTTGAGGTCGTTGCGAGTCTATTCCCTGTGAGTCTGTCATTACTCTTATCCTAGACATGCAGTGTATGTTACTGCTTCATCGCGGGCTTACCGAGCATGTGCGCAGCCGTGCCTTTTTGTTTTCTTTTCAATCTTCCCCGGAAACGGCGACCAACAGTTTCTACACATTCTCTTTCAAAACATGCGATTGTAGGCACACACTGCAGAGCTAGATGATCTTCAGACACATCACACCGCCTGAAAAATGTGCGCAACCTATGGATCTCCATTCAGATTAGCTAACCCCCCCGGTCATATCCCGAACACTTTGATAGAGTCCACTAAATTTGCAGGTTTATGTAACGACATTCTCAGATTACTGGTTTTGTAATCGCAGGGTATCATGTAGCCACTTCTTGCTTCTGCCAAAATCTAACTCTATGAAGCAGGGTGAGCGTCATATGAAACCATGAGGTTCGGCTTTTACAGCACGTGATCCTTAACGTAAACGAATATAAAAGACGTGTAGAGGAGGTCAATCTCAAGCACCATCCTCACTCATCTTTCGAGCACTGCCTGCTCTATATACTCTCGCATTTTCGTAGCTTATTACTATCAACGCACTAGCCAGTATGTATCCTGCAACCTTCTATCAACCCTTCCTTATGGAAGTGAACAGTAGATTTGTCGTGAATCTGCCCCAAGATGACGATGAGCGGCACCCATCCAAAATCGGGGACCGCAGTGATACCGCAGTCTTTAATATATCTAACGGATACATGAGAAGTGATGATCGTTTTATGGGACGATTGGTTTTGGAGCCCAAAGTTTTCATGCCCATGCAAGTCGTCTGGATGAAGGATTCTCAGGACGGGCAACAGTGTCAGACTTCTGGAGCAGAAGAGGAACCTAAACTCATCACAAATGGTTTCTCGCCATCCCGCCTCGTATCGGAGTTGAACATTGAATACTGGCTAATGAGAAGGCTTTGTCTTTGGTACGCCCAGTGAGCCAGATCAACTCCACGCCATGCCCGAAATGATAGGTCCTAGTAAGTGATGGAACGATACCGTCCTAACTCTAGGGCTGATACTCAAACTCTTTGGGCGACGTGAAGTTGCATTGGGTGTGATTAGGTTGCGATATCTTAGAGAAAATGGCTAGGTGGCACTGGTAGTTGTTAGGCACTATATATAGGATGTGCTGGTTTTCGGCCCTTGATACTCGATGCAAGGCATGGGCTAGTATGTAACTATTAAGTAGTTGCGAAAAGCTATAATCTAACCTAGAACATTCAAACAAAGTACCACCGCTGTTAGGCAAGGTAATGTGAATAAAAGCTAAATAGATAACTCATTGGGTTCAATGTAATCGTGGAGGTTTATTAATTAGAGTCACGAAGAAATATCTGTAAAACAGATTAGCAAGCTCTGGTCTAGAAGAGAAGAAGTTAGTACCTAAAAAACCCAGCTCTAATTGCCTTGCAGTCAACGTTCATCCATACGGCTGCGATCTGGCCGAATATATTTCTTGGAACCAGCGTCTAAGAGATATACAGCACATTTGAAATACGTGTGGCCAAAATCCATCAATGGTACGCCCTCTGCTACGCCAAAGAGGTACAAAGAGTTCTCGCCACATGGACTTACAGAGTACCATGGTCGTTCATACCTTACGCTAAGTTGTCTAATGACTCGACAATAAGGGGCTTCAAAGCTACTATCTAGTGGCTAAGAGCCTTGGCATTGTCAGCTCCACAAACATAGAATAGAGAACTCCCAGTTAGAAGCAATTTCTATTCTCCAATAAGTTGCTTTGCCCAGGCCGCCAGGTGGGATGGCTCAAGTAGCGCGTCTCCATTCTTATGGTTACTTCCACTTCTATGAGCAGTACATAACCCCCTGGTTCCTTTGATAATTATGAAAAATGTTCTTGTGGCTTGGGCCTAAGTTCAGTCGATTCAGGGGTTTGCCGAACGATACTAATAGCGGTATTCGAGGCTTGTGCGAGGACCTGACACGTTCCTCGAACCACGAATTTTAGAGTTGGCAATGACGTTGGCATATTTTCTGGAAGCGTTCATGCCAAGACAGATACACTTTTACCAATGGGCTCTGTCGTGTTTCAGCGCTGTTAGCAGGTTGACTAGGACCAAATTCGTCATCTAGTGGCTGCACATGACACTAATAATAATTGTCAGAACACGGTTATGCAGGATAGGTTCCCGTAGTCTGATGAATGGGGAATAGTTAGCTTCCTCCTTCTTGCAACTGCGTTACGGTGCAAGCTCCGTGCCTCCTGCTTCCAAGACTCGTCAATGGTACGCCTCGCCAGCAACTTGGAAACCAATCTTGGATAGGACAATATAAAATAAAGGCGTGCCCTCGTATAACTACCCAGAGTGGATTTTCTCCCTCATCGCTACCCTTATTTAACAGCAATCCTTTCTTCATATCCTCACATCCACCAACGGCATGATCGATCTCGCGACAGCGTTGCTCATCACAGCGGCCTTCCTTAGGACAACGCTTGCTCTTGATGCATGTCCCAATGGCGAGAAGATCTATACTGGTGCGAGTGGCATGAGCTACAAACTATGCCCCAACTCTGATTTCTTGGGTGAAACTGTTCAAATTCGAGGCAATGTTAACTCGCTGGAAGAATGCGCTGCAATGTGCGACGGGGATAAGAATTGTTATAGGGGGGTTTACGACCACGACTATCGTTATTGCCACATCAAGGCTCAGGGTGCTATGCGTTGGGAGCCGAGCCAGCAGTTTGACGTTATTCAACAAAACTTCAAGGATATTGCTCGCTGCCCAGGCCAAGAGACATCTTACTCCAGTAATGGTGTAAGTGATTGATCATCGTCATAGGTTGAGCATTGGTGCTTACTCCATATCTAGAAAAATTACAAGATCTGTCGCTCTTCAGATCTCCGAGGTGGTACTCTTCAAATCCAATGGAATGTCAACTCATTGAATGACTGCGCTGACCGTTGCGCTCGGGATGGCGCATGTGTGTAAGTGGTTCTGATAATCGGACGACATTTTCAGCAAAAGCTAATGCTATTCATCATCATTTAGTCATGCTTTGTGGGACGCAACTTACAAAGCCTGCCATTTCAAGGGCAGCCAGGAAACAAATACAATCATATGGTCATTAAACAAGCAATTCGACACCATCCGACTCGATCTCAAATTTCCTCGAGCTACTAAGGGCGAATGGTCTGATCTAGTGTGGCTCCCACTGATTCCCGTTGCCGGCTATGTGGTTCCAGAATTCCCGTCTTCATCACGATTGCTTGTGTTCAGCGCATACAAGCCTTTTGAGTTTTCTGGCCCCATGAAGCAAACTGTATTTGGAGACTACAATTTCAATACGTAAGTTTAGCAAATGCGCTACGCAGAACGTACTTCTAACTCATAACAGTGGCCAGACGTCCTTGAGAACTATTGCGAACACCCAGCACGATATGTTCTGCCCTGGAATCAGTAGTCTCCAAGACGGACGAATCCTGATTCAGGGGGGTTCAGACGCATCTGTAACGAGCTTTTACAACCCATCGACTAACGAGTTCACACGTGGTCCTGATCTTGGGAAAGCTCGAGGCTATCAATCTTCTGTTACAACCTCCGACAACAAAATTTTTACCATCGGAGGAGCATGGAGCGGTGCCCGTGAAGGAAAGGATGGCGAGGTTTACGATCCGAAGAGCAACACTTGGATGCCGCTTCCTGGTGCTAAAGTCGGGCCAATGTTGACTCAGGACAATGCTGGCATCTGGAAAGAGGATAACCACGCTTGGCTGTTCGCATGGCGAAATGGCTCCGTCTTCCAAGCTGGGCCTAGCAAGGCTCAGAACTGGTACGGCACCGCAGGCCAAGGATCGCAAGTCGGCGCAGGCATCCGAGATGACAACCACGCAATGTGTGGCATCTTTGCCATGTATGAGCCCGGTAAAATCTTCAGTTCTGGTGGCTCAACATCCTACTCCGATGTCGCGTCTCTTACTCGTGCGCATATCACTACCATCGACAAGCCATACCAGCCTGCCAAAGTCGAGCGCATGCCTGACATGGCCTTTCCCCGTGGCTATGCCAATGCCGTCGTGCTTCCGGATGGCACAGTCTTCATTACCGGTGGCCAGCGGTGGGTTAAGGGATTTCAAGATACCGATTCCGTAGTCTACCCGGAGCTGTTCAACCCCTACACCAAACAGTGGCGGACTCTTGCTCCAGAAGCTATTCCCCGGAATT